TGAGCACTGAGCACCAGATGAGCACTGAGCACCAGATGAGCACTGAGCACCAGGTGAGCACTGAGCCATTCTTTTCAGTGCCTTGATATGTTCTTTGAAGCACATGTTTTTTGTTTGTTTCATTTTTTAATTAATGAAGAGAGACATAACACATTGTTGATTCATTTTAGAGACTCTGGTAAGGATGGCAATGACCATTGATACCCATCTATTCTGTTCTATCATTCAAGTCACTAATCAAAACTACATAGGACAGCAGTTCTTAACCCGTGGGTTACAACCCCCTTGGGGGTTGAATAGCCCTTTCACTGGGGCCACCTGAGACCATCAGAAAACATAAGTCTTTACATTACAATTCGTAACAGTAGCCAAATTAGGGTTACGAAGTAGCAACAAAATTAATTTTAGGGTTGGAGGTCACTGCAGTGTGAGAAACTGTGTTAAAGGGGTGCAGCATTAGGAAGGTTGAGAACCACTGTTCCAGAGGATGGAACTCCAAAAATATCTCTATTCTTTTTTAGGTTCAAAAGCACTAATGGTTTGGCCCACACAATCTTTCATGCAGTCAATTCTCTCTGTGTATAAGGTATATAACCCAGAGAGAGCTAGCATGACCCAGACTCGCCTCTAAACAAACCTGTTTATCATGCTTACTCAGGACACGGTTTAACTACGCTCTTAGGACTAGTGTGTTTGCTCATGTATGTGTTAAGTTTAAATTTTGCTCCCTTACAATCAACTTTCATTGAAGGCAGCCATCATTCCACACATAGAAATTTTAAAAAATATTCCTTATGAAATCAGATGAGACACGGAAGTGTGAATCTTTATTTCGCTTCTCTCTGATCTGTCTACTTGTTGACTCATGGAAAGGACGGTCAGTGTACTCCAATGCCATTCCTTGACACATCATTTTGAGTTATGTTGACCACCAGGAACCAAAAGTAATAAGGAAGGGAGGAAAACAGAGCTGAGCTGCAATTGAGCACCGTGTGTGTACACATGCTCTCTGCGGCTGCTGCGAGGAAGGTCAGAGGAGCTGGGACGGGGTGGGCTGAGGAAGTTCCTGAGCTGGAGGAAGCTGAACAAATAGCCCAGGGAGTATCAAAGCCCGGAGCCCAAGCAAAGCAATCTTCCATGGGACAAGGCTGAAATTGGCTAGAAGGGACAGCGGATGCTGACAAAATTCTTCTCAGAAACTTAAGAAAACTGTTTGTGCTGGGCAGTCTGTCAACCTGACATAAACTCTGGTCACCTGGGAAGAGAGAGCCTCAACTGAGAAAAATGCCTCCATTAGTGTGGCCGGTAGACAAGTCTGTGGAGTCTTTTCTTGATTAATGATTGATGTGGGAGGGCTCTGCACATTGTCACTGGGGACGTCCCTGGGCAGGGGCTCCCGGGTTGTAGAAAAAAGCAAACTGAGCAAGCCACGGAGAGCAGACCAGTAAGCAGTGTCCCTCTGTGGCCTCTACTTCAGTTCTGCCTCCAGGTTCTGCCTTGACTTCTCTTCATGACAGACTGGGATTGGGGCTCTGAGCACTTTGGGCCCCAATTTGCTTTGTGGTTGTTGGGTTTTATAGAAATGCCACAGAAAGTAAACTAATATATGATTCTTTTTTTTATAAAAAGTCCCTCAGGGAGAATGCAGTACTTAAAAACAGTCCCACATGAAGAATAGAACTTCACACCAAGGTCTCCACTTGGAATGGTTGATACCTGGTGTGATGCTGGCTGTTAAATGTCTTCACACCATATCTGGTATATAGATAGATCGCTAGAGATAGCTGGAAATTACTTGCATATTGTGAATTTTTTGGTAAAGAATTTCATGCATCAGATTTACCTGAGCACTTGTCAAAAATGCAGATGCCTGGATCCCATATCCCGGACTACTCAGTTGTCCAGGTCACACATCCTAGACCACTGGGCCTCTTCCCCCAAGTGATTCTAGTGCATCACATCAAATTTTGTCTGAATTTTCTGGCACAGAGCAAGCCTGTCCATCTTGCCTTAAGCCTAGATGCCAACTTCTTTGAGGGGAACATCCAAAGCTCTAAAACTCTTGGCATTCACTAATATTCACAGTTTAGTGGAAGGGCCAGCAATGAAGAGGAGGGATTCTTCATTCATAAGTAAATGCTGAAAGGCCTGGGATGTAGCTCAGTGGCAAAGTACTTGCTTAGCCTGTTAAAGACCCCAGGTTCAAGCCAGGTGGTGGTGGCACACGCCTTTAATCCCAGCACTTGGGAGACAGAGGCAGGTGGATCTCTGTGAGTTCAAGGCCAGCCTGGGCTATAGAGTGAGTTCCAGGAAAGGCACAAAGCTACACAGAGAAAATCTGTCTTGAAAGACCCCAGGTTCAGTGCCCAGTACTGCCAAAACAGCAAATGTGTTGAAAAGACGAGTGAGAGCCAGTCTGTATGAGTGCTAATGGAGTGCACACTACTGTAAGTGTATTTGATGCTCACTGTCTAATTGAATATACACAACAACCCTAACAGGCCATGCTATGGTCTTCATTCTGTCATGAGGGAAGCAGAGACTGAGAGAAATGGAGATGTGACTTTCCAAAGATTCACTGCTGGGAGAAAGTCAGACTCATCTCGGTTTGGCTAAATTAAAAACTGCCACTCTTTCTTATTTATTAAACCCCGTGGCTCTTACACTAGAAAATAACCATGAAGAGAGCTTATAAGTGACATTATTGGGAGTTATCTCTTTAATTTACCTTTGTTTTAAATTTAATTGTTGCATTTTAGTGTATGCCTGGAAGGGAGGCAGGCACGGAGGGAGAGAAGGTGGTCATTCTCTGAGTCTCGGGAACCGATGGGAAGGAAACAGAAATCAGAATGTGGAAGATATAAATATTCCTTAAAACTTAGACACAACAGAAAATCAAGTTAAATAAGAAATAATAATCAAGCTCTAACTGGAAAAAATAGGTAGGATGTTATAGCTGTCGCTGGATCTTGAAAATTAGGTTAAGAACTCGAGGAAAGGTTTTGAGGCTACAGCAGAAGGTTGGAAAAGTGAGAAGTCAAGACAAGAGAGAGCTCAGTGTTGATAAGCACCTAGGGCCAATGTGATGCTACAGGAAGATCATCAAGGGGCTGGCTGATGTCTGGACTTGACAATGGGCAAGACAAGCAGTCTGGATGTGGAGACATCGTGGCAGCTCCTAGGAGGCAGTGGACCAAAAGGATGGCTGGGTTTTATGTGCATTCTGGTTGTTTGGAAGCACTCTGCTGGAGAGCTGGCACTGGCAAGATCACAGAATATTATAATTTGATTCCAGTTAAATCATCTTTATGCACCAAGCACAATGAGGAAAGGCTAGTTAGCATCTTTTGAATGTAGAGGAAGGGAAAGGACTATGAATTAGAATTGTCTCTTCAAGTAAAAAACAAACCTCAAATCAAAATCTAGATTGATGGAATCAGAGCGCTTGTTCAGACATCAACCCATCAACCCTGGTGTGTTCTTTCACTACAGATAACTTTCCAATCATCCTCGATTCATTCATGACATGTGGAGACGTGTTTATTCTTACTAGGATCTGGGCAGAATCCCCATCTCTCATCTCGTTCGTATCGGCTTGTCGTGGCACACCACAGCAGGTCTTCTTTCTGCCCTTCCCGGATACATTCGTGGTGCCACTGATGGTTGTACTGGAAGGGGAACACACAAGGCATCCCGTGGGCATTCCCTTTGATTGTATATAAATCTAGGATAAAAAAAAACCACAACAACACAGTCAAATACAGTGTCAATTTCTTCTTTGGAACATGTCATCTGCTGGTGCATTTTTATTGGTTGAAAACCCCCACTAGCAGACACTTGTTAAAAGCTCTGTGAGCCCTGGGGCCTCAGCAGCTAGTGTGTGCAGACACACCAGGCCTTCAGGAGTGTGGCAAAGGATTTGTTTCTATGTTTATCTAGCTGTGTTTACTATGGCTACCGCTCACAGCAGTATACAAATTTGTGAATGACTGAAAAGAAAAAATGTAATGGAGTTTTTCTCTTTTAAAGTATTTGCAGCCTCCCATCGACCATTACCGTCTGAACTCCAACAGTTTCATAGGCACCCATTCATTCATTTAGTTGATGTTGTAGAACACAGTTCTCTAAGCAAACAGCGGCCATCTTCATCAGATCGGCTGGGCCACTTCCGAGTGTCATCATGATTGGGCCTGTAGACTGTTGACATTCCCTGATAGATGAAAGTGGATCATAGGACTCTCACCTGAGTATCTAGCAGTGGCCATTTGTATTTGTGTCCTAACTGTAAGTAGCCTGAGAGAGCCCAGAGGTACTAGGGACTAGGGTGTACAGGCTAGGGCAGGCTAACGGAAGCTATCTATGCAGCCTTGGGGGCTGTTGTTCATGCTAGGCACAGACCTTCTAGTATGGCTGCTTTAGGCTTGCCCACTCTCCAGCCCATAACCCCTCCCCCATGCCCTGAAAGTAAACCTAACACACTCATTGCTTCCTCGGGGTTAACTTTGGTGGACCCCACCTTTGGCTTGTCATTGGGATCTTATGCGGGGGGTAGATGTTGTTTATGTCTCTCCAGGGAAGGAATTTTCATAACAGCCAATAGATATTTGTGGGGCTGGAGAGATGGTTTGACGTTTTAGAGTACTTGTTCGTCTTGAAGACGACCTGAGTTCCATTTCCCAGCGCCCACATGTTGACTCAGAACCATCATAACTCCAGTTCTAGGGGATACAATGCCCTCTTCTGGCCTCTGTGGACACCAGGCAAGCCTGTAGTAAATGTACATATGTGCAGGCAAAACATTTATACATCAATAAATAAATCCTTTAAAATTAAAAAAATAAATACTTAATGCTCATTCAACATATCCTGCACTGGGAATATAGCAGTGAGCTGTAAAAATTCCTTTTTGTTAACAAGATGGTTTGGTGGCGAAAGAATATGTGATAGCAAATATACAAACATAGTTTCAGGTACTAATAAATCCACAAATAAATAGGATAAGAAGCTTGTGTGTGTGTGGAGCAGCCCCTGCATTGGGTGGTCGAGCTGGCTGAAGCAAGGTTACTAGCTAGTGTGGGCAAAGGAATTGTCTGAAGAAGGAACAGCAAATCTAAAGAACTGGAGACAAGATGCTCATGGAATAAAGGAGGCCCCGGGGAGTGGACCCCAGGGAGTGGACCCCAGGGAGTGACCCCAGGAAGCAGTTTCCCAAATTGCTGTTCTCTACTCCCGTCTTTATTCTGAGGGTAGTGGGAAGTCATTGGCAGGTTTCAAATGAGAAAGTGACAAAATCAGACTTCCATTTTTAAAAAGAATGCACTGTGACATGGTCTGAATGCGCTGTGCACTGTGACATGGTCTGAATGCACTGTTCACTGTGACATGGTCTGAATGCACTGTGCACTGTGACATGGTCTGAATGGAGAGTGAAGTGAGCTAACCAGTGAGTCAGCTTCTATATCTGTAGGAATATTGGGGTACTCTCGATAACGGAAGACTCTTTCTAGGGGAGCCAGGGTTTCAGACACAGCCAGCAAAGCTGCTTTGAGCCAGTGCTCCCAGACAGTGCTTGTCTCACGAACTCAATGAATGAAATTCAGGGGCCACAGAGGGAGTCTTGGAAACTTATTAGAGATTCACAGCTGAGGGTTCGGGGGAGGGGCACGCCTCTAAAGCAGGGAGGGCTCCCAGGGAAGCAGGTGCCACCCAGCTGACAGTCGGGGCCTTTGAAGGGACTTAGGGCAGAAACTGGGCTGAGGTATGAGGAGGGAGATGAACGGATAAGTCCAGGTGCCTAATCCCAGTCCCTCAGGCAAGTACCCACAGCCTCCTAGTGCTCCTTTAGGAGATGAAAGGGAAAACAGGGATCAACACTTTGCTGTCCTTCCAGGCCTCCAGCAAAGACAGTCTCAGAACCCCAACCCGCCTGTAGCTAGAGTTTTCCTGCTTTGCCCACAGTCAGGACAAATCTCTGTCACCCGCCAGTCCCACAGCCGCTCAGACCCAACCAAGTAAACACAGAGACTTATATTGCTTACAAACTGTATGGCCGTGGCAGGCTTCTTGCTAACTGTTCTTTTATCTTAAATTAACCATTTCCATAAATCTATACCTTGCCACGTGGCTGGTGGCTTACCGGTGTCTTCATATGCTGCTGGTCATGGCGGCGGCTGCAGTGTCTCTCCGCCTCAGCCTTCCGCTTCCCAGAATTCTCCTCTCTCCTTGTCCCACCTACTTCCTGCCTGGCCACTGGCCAATCAGTGTTTTATTTATTGACCAATCAGAGCAATTTGACATACAGACCGTCCCACAGCACCCACCTGACCAGTTTCCATTTCCTGTTCTCATCAAGATGGCCACGCACAGCGTTTCTGCTGACGGCCTACTCGGAATATTGCAAAAATCCACCATCGTTGGCCATAGGGGCAACCAACAGAACCACCCATGATTCAGCAGGTGATTTCCATTATGGGTGTTATCCAAGCCATGCTCTACGAGGTCCTCACTGTCTCACAATTAGCAGAGGCTGGACTGAGTTCCCAGCACATGGCCAGTTTATTTATTTATTTTTAATAAGAATTAGAGGTATCTCGGGACCCAGCCTTTTATCTCTTTCAGCCCCTTGTTTTCTAGTCCGAAGCCTGGGCTGTTGTGTGCATTGTCAGTATGGAGAGAGGGCTAAAATGCTAACACATAAAGCAAGCACCACGTTCTTCCTGAGAATTATAGGGTGGTCAGCACGCTGACAGAACTCTTGCTTCACGGTAGTATGCAAACCCAGAAAATGTCTTAGGCTTGGTCCTGACTCTTTCTTCACTCGCTCGCTCGCTCACTCGCAGCACCAGACGGTCCTGTCTTAGGACTTAGGGCTTCCCTGATGCACTGCCAATGACTAGTACAGTGTTCTTAGGACTTTTCATCTTACAACCCTGAGGAGAAGGACTGCATCTGCCTTGGCCTCTGTACACCAGGTGCCCAGCACTGTGTCTGATCAACAGTCAGTGCTCCAGAAAAGAAACCGTGGTCCAGATGGATGGGGGAGGGTACAAATGAATAGGACTGGGGGGTGGGGTGGGGGCAGAGCACTGGTGCCAGCATTTTACTGTGTAGCTTTGTTTTTGGGTCTCCCATTCTTTTTCTGTTTAAAAATGCCAAAAAGCAACAGAACTGTAGAAAACGAAAGCCCCCCTATAAATCACGCCTCCCCACAATCCATGCTTGGTACACAACAAATAGCCCTTGACAGAAGTGTGTCATTTATCTTCCAGTGCCTGGTAGCACGACTGTCACATGGACGACAGCCAGGCTTAGGAGGTATCTGAATGCCCCAGAGACAGTCCCCCCTTCCAGCCCCCCACAGGTGGGGTTGAGCTTCTGCAATCGGAGACGTGGTGCCAAGGGTGGGGGCTTTATATCTGTCGGTGCGGAAGCCTTTTGTTTACACAGCTTCCCTTCTGGTTTTCCCTCTTCTCCCTCTAGTTAGTTCTCCTTCGTAGTGATTCCCAAAGCTAGTTTAATATTTTCTTTCGGTACCTTTAAATTCTGAGATTGTTGTCTCTTTAGAAGACTTAGCACATCCTTTCCAGGATTCCAATAATCCTTCTACTATAAGCAAGGAAGTGACTAAAATTTCCCAGAAGTCTTGACATGGCAGACTCCACATGCTCTTTATACATCACATCACATCACATCACACACACACACACACACACACACACACACACACACACCACACTCTTAGGAAGTCTTGACACAGCATGCTCCACATGCTCTTTATACATCACACACACACACACACACACACACACACACACACACACACACACACTCTTAGGAAATACCGTCTACATATTCTATACATCTACTCTTACCTCTGTGAAGATGCTCACAGATGTCTCCCCCACCGGACATGTAGGCGACCCACTTATGGAACTGCTTCCACGAGGCTACCACGGTGTTGTCAGGCTGTACCTGGACCTTGAACTGGAGTGGGCCCATGATCACCTTCCTCCTACAGTGCCACCTCAAGGAAATGAGGGTGGAATCACATTCATAAAGTCTTAATGGTTCTTCTGGATCAGAGAGGTTCAGGCCTAGGCAGCCGCTGGCTCCCACGTTGAAGAGGTGGTTGTTTGAAACCCATTTCCATAGCATGTTCTTGTTTGGCGGCTTGCAGTTCTCCAGGGTCAGCACAGATGGACCTGCCTGAATGCATGTCTGGAGGCTCTCGCTCTGGATAATGAAAATTCCTTTATCTGTAACAGAATAAATGAAAGATGAGGCGTGCAATTTTCATATGTAATTAGCTAGGGCTATGATGATCCCAGTGTGTGCAGCTACGCTGTGATAAGTCGCAGCTGTCAGTCACTTTGTAGTTGGGGGACAGAGTCCACTAGTCTTCGTGGGTGCAAAACAGTTTCCTGGCAAGCAGGTGAGTCCTTAGAGGCGATCATGGGAGACCCCTGATCTGAGAGGGCACGGATGAACAGGGTTTCCTGGCAGTCAAAGTTCTTCTAACACTTGAACAGACAGCCATGATGCACAGGACCAGTGGGAAGGACAGTGGGTGTCCAGGGACATTGGTGCGGCCATAATCTATTTTTCTTCAGACCAATTCCTTAGTGTTGGGGACACGGCAGCTCAGTCGAGAGCCGTTGAGATGGAAATCTCTAGCCTCATGTTCCTGCAGAGAACCACACGGTAATGAAGTAAACAGGAGCCCTTCCTGTGGCTGTCTGGTAGAGGAGGATTCAGGGCTGGTGAGAGCTTAATGCTTCTGCGGATTTGCTTTCTGTCTAGATCCATCAGGAGTGCGAAAGTGGCAACGTCTGATATTCTTATCAGAAGTAGCCTAGGGAGCATGGTGGTGGCGTCAGGAGAAATCCTGATGCCTAGATACGAAAGAGGCCCAGAGCACAGAGGCAGCCGTAGAAAAGAACACAGGGCACGATAGAACATTCCTTTGGCCAGTCTCCTGTGAAAAAGCTGGTAGGAGCCAGCCAGAGAACCCATGTCCACTGCTTGCCTGCTGGCCCAGAAGTCACCTACTCCATAACCGTCACAGGTATTCTAAGGAGGATAGTGCTATCTTAGTTCTGTGGTCTAAATTCAGTAAGTGCTTGATGTTGGTTGGACATGTCAGCAGCTGCTGCTTAAAACCCATGGCAGCTAAGGTTTTATCTCAGAATATTTGTTCACATCCTTGAGTTCTTTTGTCCTCTTCTGAGCTGGGATCCCATTTTACATTTTACTTTCCATTTATTCTTAAAAATCCCGGAGGGACCTTATCAGATTCCGTAAAATGGCTGGGTTTTGGGCAATGAGAGCCATATAGCAAAAGTTGGGCAGAGACAGGGAGAGCCTTAGAGAGACTTGAAACAGTGCAGATGAGCGTCCTAACACATGGGAGTGAGGGGGTAGTGCCTCCTTTTGGGGAAAATCCTTTTGGTTTCCTCCAAAACTGGTCTGGCCGAGAGTTGATTTCTAGTAACCCAAATCACTTAAGACACTGTTAAAAACATTGTCACCATTGTATTAGTAAAAGTCGTACCTCATTTAATAATTGATAACCTTTCTTATAACCACGTGTTTGAGGAGTTAAATTAGTTGTCAGGAAAATGCTTTGATTACCATACATCAGAGCAGAAGAGACGGGAATGTCAAGGAGGTGGGGTGGGGTCAGGTGGGGAATGACCGGTTTTAGGGAGATTTCATTTAGATCTGCAAGTTTGTTTTCCCAATGAAAGCCACGTCTGGGTGGTTATTAGTAACAGTCATTCAAAATCAAATCCACCTCTCATCAATGTGATATGGACTTCAGTAATTAACCCTCCCCCCAGCCCTTCTTTCCACCTTTTCATGCCTGGGCAGAATGTTAGCCTTAATTTCTGCTGTAATCTACTAATTGCTTTCTAGCTAGCCCAGAGTTCCATTAATTTTTCAATAAAGGATAATTATGTTACTATGATCAACCTGTAGCTCAGCTTCTATCGAATATGCCCATCCCAGTGCATCCAGCTCTGAATCTACTGACTGGGCCTCGATTTATGCGTCTGAGACAGGCACATTGGGTAACTGGATTGTGGGTAAGAGCTGTGGACACAGGTGGACGCACCACAGACCAGCTGTCTCTGTGGACTGATGGCTGACCTCTGAGAGCCTCACCTTCCTTATTTGAGCTGGAACTATGTATGATACGAATCTCATAAGGATCCTTGATGTGAAGGGCAGTCTGTTGACTACACCAAGCAAAACTACCATGGCAAGTGAGAAGAGGCCAGCAAGTGTACTTAGTAGTGTCCCCCAGACGTCTTGATTCTGAGTGACAGAGCCCGCTGGAGATCTGGCTGGACATCACGAAGTCCTACTCTGAACATCTGCCAAAGGCTTTTTTATTTTTCAACATTATCATGAAAGTTTATTTTTACTTTTGTTTTAATCACACACAGTGGGAAGCAAAGTGATTCTGAGATATTATGTTATCATCCTTTATGGAGGAATCATACTCTTCAGAGAACCAGATTTTAAAAATCCTTGTCTCGCTTTTTGAAGTACATGCACAACTATTATTAATTAAGACTCCTCATGTTCTGTTCTTTCACACTCCCTTCACTGTCAAGTGTATACTGCAACTTCAAAAAACTAAGAAAAAGAAAGATTTGTGACATGAACAAGTAGTGTATTGGTGGTGGGATGAATTAGTGGACATAGAAATTGCATATCACCAGGATTTGAGGCGAAAAAATAATGTTTAAGTTTCCAAATTAATACACATTTAAGGGAAAGAGTGGCAGAATCAGGTATGGTGAGATCATACCAGCAATCACTGAAGTCTTTCCCAAAGCATAAAATACAACTAGATAAGGCTGGCCCATGCTGCAGAGCTCTGGGTGTCATGTAGGTTCCATGCCAACTTCCTTTGGGATGCTGCTTTGGGAAAGTGAATCAGTGTGTTATCTTTTGTTTTTGTTTTTTGAGACAGGGTTTCTCTGTGCAGCTTTGGTGCCTGTCCTGGATCTCGCTCTGTAGACCAGTCTGGCCTTGAACTCAAAGAGATCTGCCTGGCCAGGCGGATCTCTGTGCTGGGATTAAAGGCGTGCGCCACCGCCCCCTGGCTCAATGTGTTATCTTAGACAAGTGGGCTGGCTCACCTACATGAGCAAATTCGTGGACTCTCAATAAACCAAGGTAACAAACATCCGAGCAACTTTCCCATCAAGTCAGAGCAGAATCTGATCCTAATATTCCATGACTCTGTCTGTCCAATGAGCCATTGGAGGAAGCCATTGCTTACTAGAGGAAGAGCCCTGCTGTTTTGTAGGCTGGTCTTGAGTTCCCTCCTTCCACCCCAGCCTCTCATGCACTGGGATCTCAAGTGTGAGCTACCATGCCTGGCTTCTAGCACCCCAAATCTCCTTGAATTCACTAACAACGAAACAATCTTCCAGTGGACCATGAGGAGACCCACTGTAAGCATCATTATTCTGGTTGCTACTGTGTGTACATATTCAGTTGTCACTAAAAATTCTGCAATGTGGAAAAAGGCCACTAATCCTTAGTGTGTGCAGTTGTTGGGTTTCCAAAAGGATGGAAATCAAGTGTGGGAGGAACCAAGACTGATTATATATGTCAAGGACATCAGTTCTGCCTGAACGGTGATTAAGTGATTAATGAAGTACTGCCTGCATTAGAAATCTCTTTGCAGGGAAGTATTATGTTCTTCCCTTCCTAATTATAAATTTGGGTGGAGAAGAAGTATGGATTACTAGAAGAAACTTACAAGCTAATTAACACTCTTTCGAGCACAGGTAAAAATGGTACATGCTTTTTACTTCCGAGTTTCCGAGCAGTGAGAGGGAGCACCGGCCTGATCAACGGTTCTGCTTAAGCCAGGGTATTTTTTTCGTGACTGCAGGTGGGACATTCATTCACTTTCTCATGCAACAAGCACCCATTGGTGCCAGCTGTGTGGGAGGGACAGGCCTAGAGGCTGTCCACGGAAACTATCAATCCGTGTGTTCTAGAATCTTGAGAACTGTCCCAGGTAATGTAATGAAGGAAGTCCTGTCAGTGCTGAAGAAGGACGACACAATTACACTCAAATGAGTCTGTGAAAATAAGTAATTAAAATAAACCCAGGACAAAGAAGATAGCTCACACAAAAAGACGCTTAACTGAGCCGTCAATGACTGTCAGTAGGAAGGAGATGGGACTCCCTTCCATGCAGGGAGCATGTGGACACATGTGCTTGCCGGTCTTCCAGGGAGGATAGGCTGAACAGCCCTGGGGAGAACCTGAGTTCAGCAGAGGAGACAAGATTCACCCATCAGCCCAGACCTGTGACCTTCAGTCAGGTAGGACAGGTTATTTAACTGAACCATCATCCATTGTTTTTCTTCCAAACCCAAGTCTTAGGATACAAGTACAAAATTTACCGAGGACTGTATTCTACCGAGACTTTACTTTCATACATCCTGTCAAAACATTTAGAAAGAAGAACACGAACCTGAAATTTCCAACAACAAATGTGGAGGGAGTGAAGTGTTGGGAACCTGAGATGGAAGGGCATCTGAGTCTGAGTGCTGCCCTGAGGCGTGAGTGACAGGGATGTAAGCAATGACACCTCAAGACTAAATGTCTATTCTATTTTACCTACCAGAAGTCCAGTGTGGTGGAAGCCAGGGGTTAGAGGCATCATTCTGGTCTTGAATATCAGAGGATCACAGTCCTCATATTTTCACCCAAGAAACACTGACTAGAGGCTTACTATTTGTAACCACGAGTATGTCCTGATACCAGTCCCAGATAGCTGCCTTAGCTTGTCACACAGTGTTCATAATAGCAGGGCACTGAGTCAATAGATACACTGGTGGCCAGCCGAGGGATCGTGGAAAGAGGATGCCCTGGACACAGAGAGTGTCACCAAAGCTCAGAGATGACGAAAATACTTAGCCTTTGGGTGATGTCAGTGTAGCTGGATAGAAAATGTTCACAGCAGAGGAACATGAATTAGAATGGCTTTTTTGTGCTTTAGGATCTTGAATTGTATTTAAAAAACATTTATGTTATTAATTACATTCTGTGAAAGGGAGCTTTTGAAAAAAAAAACATGGCTGATGCTGTGGCTTAAAAGGTGAATTAGGATCAAATAGCATTCAACAAAAACATTTATTGTGTATGTTTTGTGTGCCCAACATCCTTTTAGGTGTCCAGACAATAAAAGACAAATAACCAAGCTCCTGCCTCAGAGGTGCTC